TGATAAATGTGTTGGGTCAACATTAAAGGACTTGCCATGAAACAAAACTCAATACAAAAAACAATTTCTTTATTTAAAGTTGGGTGTAGATTTGGAATAAGGCTAGAACAAAGACAATTTTTCAAACTTTTTCTTTTTTTGTTAAGTAATGTCCCCTGATTAAATGGAAACGTGTGTGTGTGTGTGTGTGTGTGTGTGTGTGTGTGTGTGTGTGTGTGTGTGTGTGTGTAGTTGATCATGCAGGAGCAGGATGAGCAGCTGGAGTTGGTGACGGGCAGCATCAGAGTCCTCAAAGACATGTCTGGACGCATCGGGGATGAGCTCGATGAGCAAGCTGTGTGAGTTCATGTTCTTTGTGTTTTTAATCAGCAGTTACTGATGCTGGTCGTAAAATTAGAACATAATGAAAAAGTTGATTTATTTCAGTAATTCCTTTCCAAAAGTGAAATTTGTATTTATATTCATTCATTACACAGACTGATACATTTCAAATGTTAATTATTTTAATTTTGATGATTACTGACAACTAACGAAAACCTCAGATTCAGTATCTCAGAAAATTTGAATATTGTGAAGTGGTTCAATATTGACGACACCTGGTGCCACACTCTAATCAGCTAATTAACTCAAAACACCTGCAAAGTCCTTTAACTGGTCTCTCAGTCTGGTTCTGTAGGCTAAACAATCGTGGGGAAGACAGAAAAGGTCATTGCTAAAGACACTGGCTGCTCAGAGCTCTGTGTCTAAGCAYATTAATAGAGAGGCGAAGGGAAGGAAAATACCTGGTAGAAAAAAAAAAGTGTACAACAATAGGGATAACCACACCTTGGAGAGGATTGTGAAACAAAACCCATTCAAAAATTTTGGGGACCTGATGCATGAAAATATGACCTCAGTATATTAAAAATAATGTTTAAATCTACAGCTTTTTGTTTTATAGTCTAGGGCGTAATCTTTATAACATAACTTGAAGACAGTAGCTGCGTTTCCATTGATCATAAAAATGCGCAAATTAGAACGTCGAATAAATTTGCTCAATGGAAATACATCAATTTTGAAAAAACGTATGTTTTACGACAATGTTTTTGCACTAGGAAGAGGTGGTTTTTCGGCCGTATCGAAATTGATTTATTTTTACCCATGTGAGATATTTTTTATTATGCTCGTATTTATCAACTCCTTAATTTCATCCGTTTTTATTTTTTTATTTTTTCCCATTCTTTAAACACAATAACACAGGACTGTTTAGTTTTTGGGATCAGTAATTCAGAATGAAGCACTTCTCTTTTTGTTATTGATATAATCAAAACGTTCGAGGAACACTTTTCTTGTTGTTTCTAAACTTCATGTTGATTATAAACAACCTTTTTTTAAATGAGCTTTTTATTTTCTCTGCTGTTGTCCTAATTTGATTTACTTAAATAAGTAAAACGTTTCCCCTAACATGTTTATATCAGTCTCATTCTAATAATGTCAAAGATGTTTTTTTTTCCCCCTGAATTGTTTCTGAATATGCTTTGTTTCCGTTGCTGCTTGTTTTTGTTCAGCATGTTGCAGGACTTTGGAGACGAGATGGATCAGACGTCGTCCCGCATGGACTCTGTTCTAAAGAAGCTAGAGAAAGTGTCTCACATGACGAGCAGTAAGTGAGCGCAGGAGCAGATGTGCACAGGAATAGATTAACATTAAGTATTAAAGGTGCAGTTTAAAGGCAGGTCAGATTAGAGCTGTGTGCAAAGAAAAGACAAACACAAACCATAACACAAAACTCACATTTCTTATACCACAGTTGAGCAGAAATTGTCAAATTGCTGTTTTAACTCATTGGATTCCAGAAAGTTAATGTAGTTCTGTTTGTACACTTTTTCCATTTTTTCCCCACTGGACGTTAATCTTTAACTGAATTTTATGCAACCTCTTGAGACTACCTTTAGCTTGTCATATATTTTTATTATCTTTTTTCTATTTAATCCTCAAAAACATTGTTTTTGTCTCATCATGAAATTTTCTGATAACAGAACCTGTTGAGTATAAACTCTGTTGTGCCTTTCAGGTCGGAGACAGTGGTGTGCCATCGGTGTGCTGGTTGCCATCATGATTGTGGTCCTCATCCTTTTCTTTGCTCTCTGATGTCGGTGACCTCTGACCTCCTATGTTCAACTCCCTCCTGTCAGGATGAACGGACAGATAAAGATGGAAGATGTGTGTCCTGTTTCCCCTCCAGTAACTCCATTTACACACTCCCAAGCAGAAACTGGTGACCTGCAGAGGGAAAGGCTGCTCTGCCTTTTTAATGAATCTTAATGACGAGGAAGAAAACCAAAAACCCAGGTTTCTCTCAGCAGCAGAGCTCAGCTTGAGGGAACTCTTAATGTTACTGTTTCATATTCGTGCGTTGCAATGATGGATGGGAAGCGTGGCGTGTGATGGAGATAACTTGGCAGGAAGGGTTTGCTGTTGGACTAAAACACAAGTTTAATAAATCAAGTTATGTTCCAGTATCTGATTCATGGCAGTTTTATAGCTGAAGTGTTGGATCAAGATCTCCATTGTGTTTTAATTCAGCAGGATTCACGTGGTAGGGGTGTGGTAATGCCTTAAATATATTTTTATACTATTTTGAAACGTGCAGTATGTTCATGTGCCTGCGCTTTGACTTCTTGGGATGTCGTTTTAAGTTCTTAACTCTAAATTGTCAGTTAAACCAGAGGCGAGGCAGGTTTTCTCTCCAGTCCACCACAGCAGCAGCAGATTTCACTGACAAACAGCTCGGCTGAGGAGGAAGTGTTGGTGAAAACAGCTGATGTAATGAGCGCGTGTGTGTGGTCAAAACATGAAAATGTGCTGGCTCAGACATGAAGTCACCATCGCTGGTTATAGATGCTGTTTTTGTTCATCAGCTGAGCTCAGAAATGTAGATTCTTGCTGCAGAGAGATTTATTTTTCCCCAAATTGATATGAGTCTCAGAAAGGTGAAGTCTGCAGCAAGCCGCCTTTGCGTGCCTTCAGACGTTTAAGCACATGATTGGCTGGGGCTTTGTGCCTCTCTGGGTGATGAGAGGCAGCCTTGGCTCACAGCAAATGGCTTTGCCTCCTTTTGTTAAAAAGCTCCAGCTAATGAGGAGGGATAGTTGCTGGGCAAGATGTGTCAGCCTGCCGCCCAGATCTAGGCTCACAGCTCCCTCTGCTGGACGTTTTGGGTCGTGCATTACTAAGGAGCATTTTGTGTTGTTCAAGAACAAAAGTTTGTATTTTATTCTTTTCTTTAGACTCTTTCATACTGTCGAAGTGACACTCCAAATTCCTTCAAACGTTGGACTGAGAAGAAAAACAATTTCTTGTATTTGCCTGGTTAAAGGCAGAAAATCTTGTTTTGTACAGGCTGGTTTAAAGATGGATGCGTCCTCACTGCCTCCTAGTTTGTGTGCTTTTATGCGTGTATCCTCTTAATGTGTGCTTTAATGTGCTTTTACATATTCAAGCCTGCACTCTTCAGGGGAGGAAATTAATTAAAAAAAAAAAAAAAAGATGAGCGTAGTTTTCACTCAATGTGTTCCAGTTAAAACCTCTGCATGTAAAGCAGAGGTCAAAGATGCTAAAAGTAAAACTTTTATGATGCTGAACTGTAGACCACTACATCTGATTATACTGTTATATTACATCTGGATTAGAAAAGCACCATTAACTCATATAGTGCTGTTTTTTATTTTTTGGTATTTTGTTTAAAGGAAGTTTTTTTTATTATTATTATTAATGGTACCCAAAGAAAGTAAAATTGTGAATGAGCTGTGGTTCTTTTTTTTATCTTTGGTATTACAAGCATTCATGTAAGACTTTAAAGATAAATCTGCTTTAGAAGCTACTAACAGCTGGTCATGTTAAGATAATGAGCTTTTTTATTGTGTCTATAATGAAATCATTAAAACAAATTGTTCTAATTTTATACCATTAAAATACTTTTTACAGATATCATGATAAAACCACCTATTCAGAGTGGATTTGAAGCACTAATAATCTCAACAGTTCAAAACAGAAGTGAATTTCTTCCTCACTAAACGTGCCAAAAGTCAGAATCTGTTCCATGGGATCAACTAATTACCACAACTAGTAACTATTTAAACTTTTTGTCAGGTAAATTAGTTCTCTTTTGACTGTAAAACATTTCAGACGACACTGATTGTTATCATTGTGATGTTTTAAAATTCGTTTAGTTTTCCTGCCATGTTAAATCAGTTCTCTGTGAAGTGATCAAACGAGCGTGGACGCAACTTGTAAAACGGCTGACTTGTATGTTTGAATGAATACAGTATTCAGAGTCTTTATTCCTGACTTGTGTGGCTTTTCTTTTATTTATTTGATAAGAGCTTTCACCAAATTGAAGTTGCTTTTTAATTGAGAGGCACTTTTCAAAACGGGGAACCTCATCTCGTTCTGCTCTGGGAGCGGAACCATCAGGTGAAATTGCATTTTAGTTTAGCTGGAATGAGCAGAATGAGAGTCCCTGGTGCCCTGATGAGCTGAGAGCAGCTCTGAAAATAACTTGACAGTCGTCAGGAGACCCGTGTATTTATACTTTACACAAGTTTTGTGGAACTGCAGGAAGAAGTCATGAATAAGATGGCTGGTCAGTAAAAAGGCTGAGATTTTACAGCAATATGATCAACATTACTAAACCTTTGGGCAAGAGCTTAAGATCTGAGTCAACTGATCTATTAATTAGAAGTGGTCTACTTTTAGGGACACTAAAGTAGAAATGCAGCCTAAATTCTTGAATCCATTTGAGGACAAAAAGCAAAAACACAAATTATCACTCTTCAGAAAAATGTTTTTTCATGGTTTTTGTACTTCAGGTTTGTTTAATCCCTGTTTTATCAGGCTGTGAGCCTCAGTTCAATGTCTTCTGAGAAAATTCTACAATTACAACCAATTTTTTTTTTTTTTGCGTCTTCACTCTTTGTGTGTCTATTTAAATATTTAGCTCAAGGCCATAGAAGTTTGTCTAAAGATTCCTCCTGTTTTACACCGTGTATAAAGCATTTCTTTTGTCTTTAGTTTTTCCCATTAAAAACACAAACATGGCTGCAGGTTCAAGCCAGGTCGCGTCAGAAATTGGTGTTAAACAATTGCAAAGTTTGCAGAAAGGAGAAGCCGAAACAAAAAAAAAGTTCTGTTAGATATCCTACAGGGGTTACAGATGCTTGAGGTATGACTGTAGGTAGGTCAGGAGTGAAAGTTGCATGCAGACAGATTAACTCGTTCAACCTTACCTGTTTTGTCCTGATGCATCTCAGTAAACCAGGTAGAAAAAATCAAAAAGAAAAAATAAGTAGGTCCTCTGGATGGGTTCTTCTTTAGTGAAATGTTTCGTCTCTCCAAGAGACTTCTTCAGTCAGAGTTTCAGGTGAACTCAGCCTTATAAGCCCTGCCTCCACATGGACAAACAGGTTAGTCATATGCAAAAGAGGGCCATCGCTTAAACAGAGGTGGAGGCCTTCGTGTCCAGTTGTCCTCCTCCTACAACGCTGTTATTGCAAGTATGACTCAGCCCCCTGTGAGCAAAAGGTGTGAATCAGGGCCCCAACGATACCAACACAGAGGGAAAGGGACAAAAACAAGGGGACGTTGAACCCCGCTTGCACTCACTACATACACATAACACAACACCACATAACCACAACATCTAAACCAATAAGTCAGGTGATGGGGCACATGACCCTCTATGAACAATAGAGCTAATCAAGCCTATTAAGTGATGGCCCTCTTTTACATGTGACTAACCTGTTTGTCCATGTGGAGGCAGTGCTTATAAGGCTGAGTTCACCTGAAACTCATCAGACTGAACAAGTCTCGGAGGAGAGGTGAAATGTTTCACTAAAGAAGAACCCATCCAGAGGACCTACTTATTTTTTTCTTTTTGACTTACCTGTTTTAATCGTGTTCAGACAGTCCCATTAGAACGTCCTCATGCAGCCGCCAACATACAGCATAACCTATGTGTGACTGCCCTACGAGCCCCAACCCATCAAATACATTTTCTTTACCTGCTTGTTCCCATTCAGGCTCTTGTTAAGTTAGTGCACACCTCCAGTGGCCACCAGGTGAAAGGTGGGGTGGGGGTGCACCCTGGACAGGTCACCAGGCCATCACAGGGTAAACAAAACCAACGAGACAGACAGCTGTTTGCATGCGTCTAGTGAAGGTTTCAATTTGCCGGAATGTAGTTGAGTTTAAGAGTTCATATGCAAGCTTAGAGGCTAGGGTCAAAAAAAAGACTCAAGGTTAGTCTGACTAAAACAGAAACTTCAGTTTAGTTTGACACATAATTTTAAACAAGGTTTCAGCAACTTACATATACAAGCTATAAACCTGGTAAACTACAAGCCCTAAATAAAGTCTTATTTTGCTGTTTAGGATCATAAGTGTTCCTGGCTGTTAAATGGTTGTTTATGTTTATAAACCAGTTCACAGCAAAGGGATTTATTGCTCCTCTTTCTGACAACAGAAGACTGCCTTAGCACAGTTCTCTATTTTCAGCCCAATCTAATATCTCAATAAATTAGGACAACTCCCAACAGGCATTTCTAATTTTTATAGAACGTATTCAAAACATTGACATATATCGGGGATGTCCAATCCTGGTCCTTGAGGGGAGCTATCCTGCACGGTTTTCTTGTTTTCCTGCTCCAACACCCGATTCAGTGATCAAACGACCTCTTCAAGTTCTGCAGAAGCCTGTTAATCACCCATGTGTTCAAACCAGGTGCACTGGAGCAGAGAAACCTTTGAAACACGCAGGGTAGTGGCCCTCGAGGACCAGGACGGGACACCCCTGATCCAGTACGTCAAATGGAGACACGAGGCCAGAAGCCAGAACTTGAAACCCCATGCCACCTTGAGTTCTGAACTGGGGTAGTCAGAGTTGCCCCCTACTTTCCAGGGGACAGGGAATTCCCGTTTAAATTTATAACTTGTAAGTGGGAGAATTTCAACTTCCCAGTACAATTGGGCCGCAAGGAGCTGTCGAAAATACAGCTGAATTGAGTTTTTATTCAGCTAATTTCATTAGCAGCTACTTTTGAACCGTGTGCACCTCCACCTAATGGTGACATGCGTCATTTTGAAGGTAAAATAAACAACATGCATTACGGGAGATTTGTTTATGATCAGTGCTGGCTTTAAAGCAACACGCAATTATTTAAAGTCATTAAAACAGCTTTGAAGCTCGCGGGTCATATAAAATGTTGTGGCAGGCCACAAGTAGCCCGAGGGCCTTGAGTTCGACACGTCATGTGCACAAATGGACATTTTGCCTTATAAATTACACATCAGATCTGTTTTTTCATGTTCATTTTCATAGTTCTTATATTGCTGGTGTTTGTTCAAAGATGCAATATTTCAAAGAATAACTTAAATCATTTTATGTCCTGATGCATCTCAGTAATCCAGGTAGAAAAAATCAAAAAAAAAAAATAAGTAGGTCCTCTGGATGGGTTCTTCTTTAGTGAAACGTTTCGTCTCTCCTCCAAGAGACTTCTTCAGTCTGATGAKTTTCAGGTGAACTCAGCCTTATAAGCAATGCCTCCACATGGTGGACAAACAGGTTAGTCACATGCAAAAGAGGGCATCACTTAACAATAGGCTTGATTAGCTCTATTGTTCATAGAGGGTCATGTGCCCCATCACCTGACTTTGTGTCATGTGTATGTAGTGAATGCAGGCAAGGCTCAAAGTCCCCTTGTTTTTGTTTTTTCCCTCTTTCCTCTGAATCATTTTAATTTTCTTACAAGAGTGCCATGTGACACTTGGAGTGACCATGTTACCAAGTTCAGTGCGTGTGCCAGAGAGACTTTTACATCGCTGCTACAGTCCCACATCTACGGAGCCGGTGAGGGGACAAAGGGATTTTTATTTTTTTTTGCATTGCCTCGCAAAAGTCGTTTATCACTGTTGTGCCTGCCAGTTTATTAACAAACTCACATGTTCACCATTAGCGAGTTAGCCTACTACTTCAATTCAGCCTGGGAATAAATATATTACACAGCCACACATATGTCATATGCCAATATTTTAACTCAGTGCAGCCACAAAACATCAATGTCAATTTCACAAACGTGTGGCGACACATCCTGTTTTGGTAACCGGATATTTCAAAATAAATGTCTGATCTAATTCAGTTCATACAAAACAAACTTTTGTGTGGGAATGCAAATGTTTGCGAGGTAACGCAAAATTATTGCGTGAGAATGCGAAAGAAAAAAGTCCCCTCGTGGGCTCTGTACTGTGTACAGACTGTGGCTTCAGGAATAAAATATGACAACACCCAAAAAAACCAAACACACACATATATATATA